GGGGGCCGCGGATGGGAGACAAGGGATGGTATTTGCAGAGGAAGGCGGGAGGGAGGAGGAGAGGATACTCAGGGATGGAGTGAGGGTCGCCGAGAGGAGAGAGGTTGTGAGGAAGGGGGGAGAGCGCTGAGGCGGAGAGAATGGATGGAGTCTGTGGGTGCGGGAGGGGCTGTCGGAGAGACCGTGGGGACGATCGGCGGACGACGGAGATGTGAATGAGCAGAGATCGAGAAACGTTTTTCTGAGGACGAGGGGAGAGGAGAACCGGATGACAGGGGGAAGAAGGAGGTGAGAGGGTAGATTATGCAAGAGGAAAGGGCCGAGAGGAAGGAGAGAGGGAGGGAATAGGACGGGCCGGGGGGGCTGACGGGAGGAGAAGGGTGTAGGAGGGGAAGGGGTGTGTAGAGGATCGTGAACGGGAAATGTGAGAGGAGGAAGATGAGAGAGGGGCGGGGGAGAGGGAGGAAGAGGAGGGTGAAGTGAGCAGGAGGAGGGAGGGAGAGAGGGACGAGAGATGAAAGGAGGGGGAGGTGAGAGAGAGAGGGGGGAGGAAGTCAGGGACTGGAGACAGGAAGAGAAGGAGGTAGGAGAGGAGAGAGAGGAAGAGAAGACGAAGGGGGGGGGCAGGAGCGGAGATGAAGAAGCGTGGAAGGGGGAGGTGGGGAAGCAAGAAGGCTAGGATAGATGAGAGGAGGAGGACAGAGAGGGGAGCGGAGGACGACGCACAGAGAGGAGAGAATAGGAGAAGAAGGAGAGAGGGAGCGTCGAAGGAGGGGTGTAGACGAGGAGAAGAGAGGAGGAGAGAGGGGACACGGAGGTGGAGAGAGAGGAGAGAAGGCGCAGAGAGCGGGAGCGGATGCGGATGGAGAAGAGAATAGAGGCACCGGAGTGAGAAGAGAAGACGAAAAGAGAAGGAGAGAGACTGAAGGAGAGAAAGGACTGGAGGGAGAGAGAAGGAGAAGGGGGTGAGAGAAGAGGAGCGAGAGCAGAGACAGGGAGGAAGGGAGGGCGAAGGATGAGTTAACGTGTGGGTGAGGAGAAGAAGAGACGCCGGACGGAAGGATGAGAGAGAGGGGGGGGGTGATGGAGAGACAGGGGGGGCGGGGTGCGGAGATGAACGGAGCAAAGAGAGGGAGAGTTAGAGAATGAAAGCGGATGAGAGAGGAGACAGAACGTGAGAGAAGACACAGATGGGACGTGGGAGGGGTGAGGAGACGAGGGAGAGGATGACGAGGAAGACCGGGAGACAGAGACATGGATCGAGATAGTAGTGGAAGGAATTGATCGAGAGATTGAGGAGGAGACCAGGCGGAGAGAGGACTGAGGATAGAGGGAAGGAGACACTGAAGGAAATGCGAACGGACCGGTTGAGACTATAGGAGGGATCGGGAGAGGAGCCGAGGAGACAAGAGGAGCGAATTTTGATGGGCACAATACGTGAGGCGAATCGAGACAGAGAAGGGAGAAGAGACATGGAGGAGACCAGCAGAGGAGCGACGGGGAGACAGTGGAGCATGGGAAGGAGAGAGAACAGACGCGGAGCGATGAGAGGAGTGAGAGTGAGGAGTGGGTGAAGGAGAAGTAGAGACAACAGAAACGAAGGAGAGAGAGAAGCAGAGTGAGTCTGAGGAGAGGAGTAGAGAGGCGAGGAGGGACGAGGAGAGAGTAGGTGAGAGGGATCGGCGAGAGGAGGGACAGAAGAGGACGGCAGAGGACCAGAGTGACGAGAGAAGAGGAGAGAAGGAATGATAGAGGGACCGGAGGAGAGGGAAGAGAGACAGAGAGGAAGGGAGACGGGGAGAAGAAGAAGAGCGGGAGAGAGACAGAGACAGAGAGGAGACCGAGACGAGGAGAGGGGGAGAGGGACCAGGGTACGAGAAGCGGATGTGAGAGGAGAGAGGAGCAGAGAGGACGGGGAGAGGGAGAGACGGATGGGAGAAACGGAAGAGAGGGAGAGGGGGGGACGGAGCCGAGATGAAAGGAGGAGGCCGAGAGACCGGACAAGACGACTTGCGAGATGAGAGAAGAGATGGGAGAGGAAGAAGGAGAGAATGAAGGGAGACCGAGGAAGATGCGGAAGGGTGGAGAAGAGAGAGAGAAGACGACCCGGAAGATTTCGAGAGAAAGAGGGAGTAGGGAGCCATGAGAAGACCGGATGAGACCAGAAAGCAGGAGGAATGAAGAGAAGGAGACCCAGCCGAGTGACGCCGGGCTACGGAGGGAGCCATAAGAATCGAAAGTCGCAGGAAGAAAAGAGAAGAAAGGGAGAGGGGAAGACGCGGTCAGAAGTATGAGCAGGAGAATGGGCTGAGACGAGAATCGGGGAGATGGAGGGGAGGAAGAGGACTGAGGGTGAAGGCGTGACGAGAGAGAGAGAGACGTTTCTTGGAGAGAAGATGAGAGGATGATGACGACAGAGAGACGATGGTCGAGAGGGAGGACGGGAGCGGACGAGATAGGAAGTGCGGGAGAGGGCGGGGGAAGAGAGAGAAAGAGAGATGGAGAACGAGAGGAGGATGAAAGGATGGGCATGAGAGAGGAGATGAGGGTAAGTCACCCTGTCAGATATAGAGGGGAAACGAAGGAGGACCGGTACGAGGGGAATAGGGGGACGAGCGACAGTGACGAGGAGCGGGTGGGATAGAGAAGGGAAGACTGAAGAAAGATGGGAAGGGAGGGACAGGAGAGATGGGAGGCGAGGAGAGGGGGGGAGTCGGGAACGTCGGATAGCTGGGGGGGGAGGAGGGTGGAGATAGACGGAGGAAGACGAGGGGGAAGAGGAGGCGGATAGCGGGAGGGAGAGGGGCTAGAGGGGTGGAATACCCAAGAAGAAAGAAACAGAGGCCATCACAGACAGGCGACGGGGGAGACCGGTGACGAGGGGGATGAGAATGAGGCAAGCCGGCAGGAAGTGCGGGGGAGGAGGGAGGGGGGAGGGCCGAAGAGAGAGAAAGAGAGTCGGCGGACCAGAGGGGGAGAGAGCGATAGCGCGGGGACCGGAGTGGAGGTGGGGGATCGAAGAGCGACAGAGAGCCCCTACCCCCCCCCCCCCACGTCCATTGGCGGGGAGCGGAGTTGCGAGGCGGGAGGGCCGTGGCGGGCGACCAGAAGAGACATGAGAAGAAGAAGAGGAGGAGAGGGAGGGGGAGGCGGGAGGAGGGATGGGGCCGGAGAGACGGGGGGCGGGATGGACGGGAACGGAGGTGGGGCGGAGTGGGGAGGGGGAGCGGGAGGGATGAGAGGGGACGGGATGGGGGAGAGGGAGGGGGGAATGGATGGCATGAGAGAGGGGAGGAGAGACCCCCCCCCCTCCCCGCCCGGCCCACACGGAGGGTGATCCAGCGGGAGAGAGGTGTGGCCCAGATGAGCGAGGAGAACCAGCAAAAGTCTGACGGAGCGCTCGTGGCAGGTAGTCGGGATGGGAGAGGATGGACCGTCGGAAGAGCAGTGTCGGTGCCGAGAGGATTGGGAGGTGAGATATGGGGGACGGAGGAAGGGCGGGCCGGGAAGGGCGAGGGAAAGGGGGAGGGGAGGGGGAGAGGGATGAGGGAGGATAATTGAGAGAGAAAGGGTGGGGAGAGAGTGCGAGGATGGGAGGCCCGACGACAGCATCGAGGAGAAGAAGCCCGTTGATGAGGGGCGATGAGTGGATTGCGAGAGAGAGGAAGAGGAGCGGGGGGAGATTGGAGGGAGCAGGGAGAGTGAGTGAGAGAGGGGAGAGCGTCCGGAGAGGGGAAGAGGAAGACGGGGGACGGGGGAGAGGAGGAAAGGGGGGGGAGGACTGAAGCCGAGAAGGGCCAGATGGGGAAAGGAGAGAAGACCGGGGATCGAGAACGTGCGGGGAAGAGACCGCAGCGGACATAACCCCGGGAGGCGACACCCCCCCGGGTGGACAGAGGGGAGGGAAAGGGGGGACGACGACCAAGGAGGGACAGAGGAGGGGGAAGGGTGGAGACCGGAAGGAGGGTGAAGGCGAGACGGGAGGCGTAAGAGGAGAAGAGAGGCGAGAGGGAGACGGGGAGGCGAAGAGGACAGACAAAAGGAGAAGGAAAGCGACGAGAGAGGGGAGAAGGCGAAGAGGGAAGGGGAGAGGGAAAGCGGAACAACGGGGAGAAAGTATAGAGGAGAAGCGGGGCGGGAGGAGAGAGAGAGTGGTGAAGGGAGAGGCAGACAAGGGAGGAAGGGGAAGTAGGCGACCCCGAAGGAACGGGAGACTAGATGCGTAAGACCTGCATAGGAGGGGAGTGAGAGATCGTAGGGGATGTGCACGACGCAGGTCCGAAGAGGTGTGACAAAGGGGGCCAAAACAAGGGAGGGGAAAAGAGAAGGAATGAGTAGCGGGAAGAAAGAAGAAAGGAAGAGAGAGGGGAGAGCGGGGGAACGAGGAAGGCGAGTGGGGGGGAGGAGGAGACGAAACCAGAGAGAGGAGGGGAGGGTCGAACAGTCGGGAAGGGGAAGTGGTGCTGGATCGCGGTCGGTGTGGGGATGAGACTATTTGACGAGCGTGGGAGGATGAAATCAAGAGGGAGGAGGGGAAAGGGGACGGAGACTAATACAACATGTCTACAGAGAGTTGAGAGAGAGACAGAGAGACGAGAGGAGGCGAGGTCGGGAGGAGAGATGATGAAGCGTCAGAAGTCGTGGAGAGGCTGGGACAGAGAGGCTGGGCGAGGGGGAGGAGGAGGGAGCGGATGAGTGGTAGAGAGGGAAGGAGAGCGGGAGAAGGAGGCGATCCGGAGAAGAGAAAGAGGGATGACGGGATGGCGAGGAGAACCGGTCTCATCTGCATCGAGGAAGAGAAGAGGGAGACAGAGGGGGAAGAATGGAAGGGAGACGTGGAGAGAGAGAATGCGAGGAGAGAGGGGGACGGGAGGAGGAAACGCACGCTCTGAGAACTTGAGGGGAAGGAAGAGGCGATCGGACAAGACGAGAAGTAGGGGGGGGGTAGGGTGGACGCCGAGTGGAGGGTAGGGGCTGGGTGACTGCGACGGAGAGAGAAG